TCTAGCGGAAACGTCTAAAGATATCCTTCTTTTGTTCGGCAATGGTCTTAAACAAGGTACAGTTTACGAAGAGTAACTTTTAACAACTTTTTTATTAATAAAAATGCACGATATCGTCATGAGTATTTCTCAGTAAGTTCGTTTATACAAAATTGATATAATCAGATTATTTCTCTTCTTTTCGATGTTTTTTTTATGAAAGTTTCTTATATCGAGTCATTAATTCAGATGATGACTTAAGAAACGAACAACGACAGCTCAGATACAAATATAGCAATTTACCCCGAATGAAATACGTTGTATGATAGATCCCTTTGTCAGTCATTCACTTACATTCACACAGTATCAGTCATTGGTGATCAATCAGGAAAAAAATTCAAACAGTTTAAATGTCTCATTTTAAATACATGTACATTACTTTCAAGGTGCATCGTTATAAAATGCTTACCCTTTAATAATTCACTCCATTGTCATAAAATGTCCTGTCCCAATATCTTGATAAATGAGGGATTTTTTCGCGCTATATAAATAATTGACAAAATATGACTCAGTTTTTCACTCTGTGTCTATAATAATACTTAAATGTTATTTTTTCTTTTTTGTTGTTGTTTTTTTCATTAACTTTCTGCCAGTCACGTAACAAAATTCTAAGCAAATCATGTGTTCGCTTCCAATTTAAATGCAATGAAATTCCAGCAATAAAGTTAAACGTGTATGATAAAACAGAAATCCCCATTTGATTGCTAAGATAAAATTTAAGTATCGTATTAAATGTGTCACCTCTATGACATTTCCCATGGTATATAAGGTTGAGGTCTTTATCACACTTAACATCGTGGATTTATGTGGTTTTAAATTCACTCAAATATTGGCACGGTTCAGAAAATACACAAGTACTACTTGACGCTTTTCTAAAACTATCTGATGTATGGTATTATTATTATTATTATTATTATGACATTCTTAAAGACCCGTCAACACGCAAAATGTCATTAGGGCCATCAAACGGTAATACACACAGCGACCCAAAAGGAAATAACATTAAACAAACCAAAAGGTAAAAGACAAATGTTAAAAATCTTAAATGGGTATGTTAACACAAAAGATTAAAATGATACGTCATAGTCTATTATATATTATATAGACCAACATCTTTCAGGTAATGTAGAATTTTACAAATCTCAACAGTTTCAAAAAGGGATTTTAGACATGTAATGTTGCGATAAAAACGTTCTCGAGTAGACAGAAGGTCACTGCAGTCCAATAAAACATGTTTAACGGTGAATGACTCATCACATCCTATGTACCAAGGATTATCTTCGCCTTTCAACATATATGAATGTGTAAGGTATATATAACCCATCCGAAGATGGGCAAGGACAATTTCGTCTCGGTGGTTGTCTCTATAGCCTGGAGACCATCAACCGATAACAGGTTTAACGGAGTGCAATTTGTTATTGGTATAGGTATTCCAATCCTCCCGACACTGAGCTTCTAACATTTATTTGATGAATGGTTAAAAATCGGCAAAATACGAAAGTTAAAAGCAAGTTCATGATATAGTATTAAGGTATTACGAATTAATTTTTTTTTCGATATTTCTATTGATAAGAGTTTGTAGAACAGAAAGAGAGTCTGAATGGACAACAGCTCTCATTACTTTGTTTCTTTGAATATATTCAAGGGCGATCTTCTACAGAAAATATTGATGCGTTGTTTGGTATCCGGCATTCATGCGCTTCATATTGTGAAGCCATAACCGCGGCAACCTTATCATTATCTTTTGAACCATCAGTATATGAATGTAGAAATGTTTCATATTTCAACTGCAATTTTGAGAAGGAAGAACGAAAGGTGTAACTATGTGTGTCTGATTTAACCATTTCATGAAGTGAAAAGTCAACTTCAGGTGAATTCATGAGCCATAGTGACATTTCTATCCTGCCAAATAACTGCATCTCACTCTAAATTATGAAAAAGTGTTTCTCACTTGTGTGTCTTTTGTACTTCGATTCTGAGGTACGTATACAAATAGTTGTCATTATCGGTATGGTATTTATAGCAAAGTGCACAATAATATTCAAAACACGATTTAATTATTAATTACTTTATTTAAATGACCTCCGATGTTAGTAATCCCAATTGTGAATTAAACCATTTTTTTCATTAAAAACCCACTTCATAAATGTCATATTTCCTTTCTCTTGAACATATATCTTCTGTTGTTCCCGTGATTGTCATGATTGAAAAAACAGTCTTGGGAACATTTTTTTTAAAATTTTTAACCAAATATTCGGTATAGATTGCACAATCTGTTAATTGTCCATTGGATATTAGATGTTTTCTCTTCCATCCATTAATGAAGGCTTATTGTTCCAAACAGCTAAACAGCTACCGAGTCCCTCAGTCGGTAAACTAATTGGTTTGCGGTTTGTAACATACATTGCTTCACCATATGTGTGCTACGTAAGGTATATAATGTTCAGACTTTTTACTGTATCATGTATGTAATGTGAATACATATCTTATGTTCTGATGAAGTGCGCATCGTCGCTAGTACTTATTTAGATTCGATGGGATGTAAAGCTAGTTATAATATTTCAACCCTGACGGTTATTTTTGTTTAATGGGTGTTCGAACAATAAAACTGGATTATTAAAAAACCAATGTCATGTTGGATTTACAAATCGGAACTATACTGTCGCAAAAGTTATCAATTAAATTTTATGTCCAATGATCGATCAGAGAAAAACCAAGAAAATACTAACATGTCAACATAATCATGTTCCAAACAAAAATAAAAAAAACAAGGGCAACATATGAGCAAAAGAAAAATTTACTCAACAACTCTTAAAATACAAGGGAAATAAGACCATTTGGTCCTGAAAAATAAGCGTCTCCTGTTTTATAGACGACGCCCGCTATGTAAACCTTTGTCAATCGTTTTTTAAACGAGAATTAGGTATGGAGCAACGGAACCAACAGATAAACTAAGGACCATCACTCGTTCAGCTTCATATTACACAAAGAATTATTTTTTTAATAAGATCGCTATGATTGTTAAAATTTCTCTATAATTTTCATCAGATGGTATTTTTAGGAACCCTGTGTTCCCACAATTGACGATTTCTTGCACGATAACGATTTCATGAGATCAGGCCATGAATAGCGAATCAACTGCGACATGTTAACACCATAGGTTAAGAATGCAAGAATGCAACTATCCAGAAATGGAAAATTCACAACAGGGAAACGGAAATCATCACGCTTATTATATAACTTGGTTGAAAGCTGTTAATGTTAGTTTCGTGTACGAAAATATCGAGATTAGCGGCTGATGAATATAGGAAAGTAGTGGTCAATAAATTTCTTGTAATTCAAAGACTTCTTGAGGAAACAGTATCATGGTGAAGCTACACAGATTTTATAATACGGAGAATGGTGGTTAGTTAAATTTTTAAAAGTTCTCCTGTAGAGCTAGACGAGCCAGCAATAAAAAAATTGTTTATATGGATTCTTGTGAAGTTCATTAATAGGCACAATAGCAAGTATTTCGTCTTTGGAAAGATTGCATTATGTACAGGTGGGGTTTCCTGCGTTAGTAAGCATGTAAATACTGGATTAAACATCAGGATCGAGGAAAGCTCGTCTTCGTTTTAGATTTCAAGCTACAGTTAAAAAAAAGATTGACCGAATGAATGATTATATGAACTATTCTTTCAAACAAAAACTCGATCAGACTTTTTTATCAACATTATGAATAATAATTATCATTAGGATATATATATGTTTAGAATTTGCTGACCAATCAGCGGCTGCCTAACACTGGGGTCATTTCAGAGGTTTTTTTTCTCCTCTCCTTTGCTTAGATCGATCAGATAGAACAAGTACGTGAATAGGTTGTGTCTCGAACATTTGTGTTTATTTGGGGGGTTTATCGCCCTTGTGTCCTGCAGGTAACGCGTGCGAATTTTGCACCTATTGCATGGTCGTTAGCGGCGACTACATTTTGATATTTTTGTGTTCTTCTTTTGTAAATATCTTCTTCCTAATGTCTCCCATGAACCGCCTCCTGTTATAGCTAAGCTTAGCTTTTGTGTCGGTGAGAAAGGTTTTGGGTTCTGTTCCCTTGCCATGACATATCAGAGTCTTTATATATGGCGTTAACTGCTTCCTACACAACTTCCAGCATTGTGGTGGTGTGATGACTGGCATGCCCATTGTCAGTTTAATGCGACAGAATGGGGCGTCCTGCCGGGGGTCTCTGTCAGTACGCCGCTCTAAAATGACCCTGGCTGCTGATAGATCTTTAAAACCAAATCAAGGTTAATCACCCTGTCGGCATGGTCTCCTTGTGGAAACAGGTTGCTACCTCACTAAATATTTTTCGGGAAGCATGCCAACACAGAACAAGAAAAGTCATAACTACGTCAGCTTAGACCGTTTCATTTCTTCCTGAGAAACGCGAACAGTCATTGGTGGAGAGCGTCGAACCTGTAAATCTTCACCTTGGGTTACGATAAGCCATCGCACCACTGACTGTTAAGGAATATAGCTGAGCTTCGTTCAGGCTTGGGCAGGCATGACATTATGACCAAAAAAAATGTTATATCAAATGTGGCAGAAAATATTTAAAAAGAAAGAAGAGAAAACACGCCAAGTTAAATAATTTCTTACCAACATTCTAAGCGGTAGAACATATAATTCTATTGCTCAGTCTGCAAGTCCAGAATGACAGAAGGTCAAGTAATGCTTGGGACTAAAGTAGAAAGTGGGTGCAATGTACAAATGTCGATTTGTCGTCCTGATATCGATGGTACTAAAACAAATCTGTTCTCGAGTAATCAGAGTTGGTTGACCTTGTGAAAGATCAAATGAAATGTGTTTAAATCCCTTTCATGTAAATCACTGTGGCAGTCAATTACTGACAATACATCGAAAACGTTGCTGCTTTTGACATGCAATGTATGTATTTTTATTTACAATATCTTTTTCTAGGCATGATGCTAAAGGCCGAGGCAGTTTTACTGGTGACCTTTCTCTTGGTCCTCGGGAACGTATGGTCAACACCAACATCGGACCTCTACCAGGAACTAGAGGAGATCTTAGAAGAACTTGATGAGGAGACCAGGGAAGTGGATGCAGAGGGATCCGATGGATTTTCTGAAACGTTAAGCGGAGACCCGGTCGACATCATGACGCGAATGCAGAACGACCCGGTGTATAACAACGCAATGGATGCCTTCGATGAAGCGAAAAAAGAGCTAGTTAAGGAAATTAAGTTACGAGAGGAATATTTTTTATCAGGTATAAAACTATTTCTTAATTCAGACTTGAACAAGACGCACGGAGACGAGGCAAAAACATAACATTTCTGAGCTAGTATATACATGTTTCTCAACCAGGAAATGCTCATATATGTTTAACTCGGTAACATAGATAATACAGCAATTTATCTCTTTTACATTCTGTTTATACCTGGTAGTCATCTTGGAACCACTCAACACAGTATGAACTCGAAAAAACAACTTAATGATCAACTGAACACGAATTGAAATTTTCATTGATTACAGCCAACACGAAATAATCTGGAGTATGCTGTTTACAAAAATGTCATAATCAATAGTAAATTACCTGGTAGATACGAGTTAAACGGATAACTTTGAATACTAATTATTAGTTAATTACAGTTAATCGAGGATATTCACCAGAGTCGAAAGCATTATCCACCACGCATGATAGGTCACATTTTACTGTGATAGATTAACATAAATATTTGAAAGTGTTGTTTTTAATCGTTTGGTTGTAATGTTACGTCAGGTACTAGGAAGAAGGTAATCATGCATGATCAGTGTTTGATCTAAGGGTTGGTAATACTTTCTCCTTAAGCGTTTTTTCCATGTTGGGATGTGAATCTTAGATATGCCCCCAACTTTTATCCAAACTTATAGATCTGTCACTGGATTGGTCAAATGAATGCCAGTGTACCCTCATACTGAACTTATTTACCACAACATAACGCTAAAGTTCGTCACTTTGACGTTATTGTTGAAAGTGTTAATATAAACAGTATATTGCACACGATTCATATTCCTAGAGAGGATTATTTGTCCATATAGTATGTATGCTATCCTCTCAATCTGGTTTGATCTAAATAATATTGATACATGTAGTACTTTTGTTTCTTTTACACAGGTGATGACAAGCCTGCTGGTGGAACCTCTTCTGCGTTGATGGCTGGTCTGAACGACAATCACAAAGAATCTGAGGGAGATTATGAGAACAAAACCCTGGTAGCTTTGTTTGCCACAAAAATTCTCTTGAAGTAAGTACAAGATGTAAGGGTATGTTATATTTTATATCATTCAAGATTCCATTGTCAGAAAAACTTTTCAATTGTTCATATGATCATCATGAAAATATTTGTAACCCAAACTCTTTTATAGTCAGATGGAGAACATAACTCTCGATAATATGACGCAGTATTCTATTTGACATGTTGTTGGGAATATCGGGCAGAGTTACTGCCCCTGATTGTGACTTTCTTACTGGGATAGGTACGTCCGTCCTCTTTTGACCCAAACCAGCGAACGGTACAGATGTGAAATCTATTAACCAACAAACCTGTGTGTCAAATCTGAGCGTTTGGTCAATCTTCTTGGTCTTCATGAGCGGTAGTTTGGTAACAGGGATCTGTGTTACCCTCATTGTTTGTTTATATGCATTTTATGTGAATAAATCTGCTTAAACTCTTACAATATGTACGCAAAATGAGCTGATTTACTCGAATAAAAAAGAATTCCGAAATGCAACTTGTGGAGGAAGATTTAAATAAGTCGAAGCATGAACAGTCAATCCAATCAACGAATGCAAATTTGAAATGGAATAATGCACTTGACACAATATTGAATAAAGATAAAATGTAAACACACGGACTGTCACAAAGTATTTCATTTATTTTGATTAAATATAAATAACAGCAAATGTCCAAATTATCCTGGGAAGAAAATGGTGAAGATATCCTGGAATGCATCAACACCGTCTCAACAAAACATAATAAAAGTTTGAGAAGTCTGTAGTACCACTTTCGGTTCACGGTTGACCTGAGACGGAAACACCGACGAATCGTCTGGTATCAAGTCTGATTTCAAATCAGATATTAGATATCAAAAAATGACAAAACTGCTGACCTTTCATTGTATCATCGGTTTATTGTGTTATACACAAAAAGTACCATAAAAATAAAATATCCAAGGGACATAACTCTCACTCACACTAAGTACAAAATACATGTATACCAATTACAGAGCAAGTATTTAGTATAATTATATACTTTACAAATCTAATTACATTAATGATAATCATCTAAGTATTGAACTTATAATTATCTTTACAGTGTTATGGTATATCAAGCTCCTTAATTACATTATTTTAAGAAAATACATATTTAGTACATTGTACATGTATAACATAACTCGCCCTACATATGATGCAGAGGTACGTGGAGTACAATTTTGAATTACACCTCCATTCCTATTAATCTGTTCTACAAATCAATGATAACCACAATTAGATCTTTACTCTCTACACACTGCATACAAACAATAGTACCCAAAAAGGACATAAAATAAGAATTAATAGTGGCAACTTGTATATAGAGCTACATGTACATTTATATATATAGACATTAACCACTACATTATCCTACTTTCAAAGATAATAGTTACAGAACATATTATAATCAATTCATTGTTACATATGGAAGACAATAAATTACTTGAAATACATAATATTATACAATATTGGAAAGAATAGTTACTTACCAATAATACTGGTGTAGAATTAATACCAAGCTATTCAAATCTCTCTGAAATACTAAAACCAGCCGTTCCCTCCAAAACCCAAACTTGTACTGCCCGACAAATCCAAACTTCCCAGTAAAAATCATGCCTAACCTTTCTTGTGTTCTACCCAAACAAATTTACCTACCTCGTGTCAGTGGACAGGTCAGTCACAGTCAGTCTGTACCATTACCATATATGGAAATGTCTTACCTGAACACTTTTTACTGTATACCTAACCAAACCATTAAGGATATATGTCTCATGATTTTCTAAAATACTATATTTACTATCTTCATTGCTCAATATATGAATTAATTAAATCATACTTATATCTGAATCATATAAGACATTACAATACATATAACAATAAAAAAGATACATAATCTGACCCATGTCAGCAAATACAATGGTATACAACACAACTTTAACAAACATTCAATAAAAGCAATAATTCAAATAATTCACATTATGTCACATGATGGTCAGAAATACTAGTTAACTTATGGTGATGGTCAGACATACTAGATAACCCAATGTGATGGTCAGACAAACTAGTTAACTCAGTGTGATGGTCAGACATACTAAATAACCCAGAGTGTTGTTCAGACATACTAGTTAACTTAGGGTGATGGTCAGACATACTAGATAACCCAGAGTGATGGCAGACATACTAGGTAACCCAGTGTGATGGTCAGACATACTAGATAACTTAGGGTGATGGTCAGACATACTAGATAACCAAGAGTGTTGTTCAGAAATACTAGTTAACTTATGGTGATGGTCAGACATACTAGATAACCAAGTGTGATGGTCAGACATACTAGATAACCAAGAGTGTTGTTCAGACATACTAGTTAACTCAATGTGATGGTCAGACATACTAGATAACCAAGTGTGTTGTTCAGACATACTAGGTAACCCAGAGTGATGGTCACACTTACTAGATAGCCCAGAGTGATGGTCAGACTTACCAGTATACCAAGTTTAATGATCAGACATAATAGTTAACCAGTGTGATGGTATACTAACTATTCTTATTCAAATGGTTGAATAAGTACAGTTGTTATAGCTACTAATACACTAGTAGTCGCCAATAGGCATTAAACCACTTTTTATCAGTTTTATCGCTGCATATGAAATGTTTACGTTATCAAGATCTACGTTTGCTAATAATTATAATCATTAGGAAAGACAGGGATAGAAGTCCCGTTTGCTGCTGTATAGACAACCAATCAGCTTTGTTTATCCCTTCAGGGTTTCAGTAAATAATAACCTCTATGGTAAGCATATGTATCAACTACCAGATGTAATATACAGTTTCGGTAATAATTCATAATCTCAAACGTATCATACATTTTCTTGTATTTCCTGTTTATTATCGTATGTATAAATCCTGTTTACCATCAATTACTAGTCTGTTTTAATGTCAATTGGCTCTATGATTTGGGTCATTTTAAACCTATTGTAAAGTATTTTCCTATGTCTGTAACGCCGAATATTTTGTACACAGGGAATTCGGTAGCTTGGAGAATATGCAGAAGGACAAGAGCATCAGAAAAGCCTTCAGTGATGAGGCAGGGAATTGTAAAGGCAACCGTCCAATACGAGAGGACTGCTCAAGTGAGGAAAATGCACCTTACCGAAGAATCAATGGCACGTGTAATAATTTGAATAATCCCTCTTATGGAGCGAGTCACACACCCCAAATCCGCCTTATAGCTGCTAAGTATGAAGATGGTGAGTATCCGTCTTTTACCACTACTAGATATTTTTCTATCTGTTTTGTCCAACTGAATTCTCTTGTATGACGTAAGTCTGTGAAATGCATTGGTAACATTCAACATGAAAGCAAGGGACTGAAATTGTTGATGCATACTGTATGGCCGATTATTTTCGCGCCGATGTTTTCACTGTTTCTCGGTACATTTTAATGAAATGATGAGACACATGTACATTATAGGTACTTTTTGTGTCCAGCGCACGAAATTTTCAATCATTAGAATACAATTCAACCGTTTTAAAACGAATAATGCAAAAATATGACCCGCAAAAATCAAAAGCTACATGTATTTGGTATGATATGTCTTGAAAAATGAAATTTTGTTGAAATGAATGTAAAACACCATAAGTTCCACGAATTCCATAAATTTACATAATGAATAATGGCTTCAAAATTCAGTAATCACCTCCATCATCACTAAACCAATGATAAAAACAAAACCAAAGTAAACTGTCAGTTTTCTGTGTTTTTTAATCAACAGGAGTAGTTGGAAATCGAACAAAAGCCATAACGAACGTTTTATATTATTAATAAAATGCCATGCAATGTTGACCTCCTAGTGAATAGAGTGGAGAGTGATATTTATGTTTTGGAGAAAAATAGCATTGGCAATTCCAATACTTAAAATGATATAAGTAATATTTTTATTTTGTTTTCTCTTGTAAGATGTTAATGAACCAAGATATAAAGGGGTGAATAAGGTTCCTTTACCAAGTGCAAGAGATGTGTCCGTCAAAGTGCTGTATAACGAGAGTGATCCCGAAACACCTTATGCTCTGGATTTGACGATGATGATGACGGTCTGGGGCCAGTTCTTGGACCATGATATCACAGAAACCCCAATGACTAAAGGTGTTTCATTTTATTTATTTATTTTTATTTAACTATATTCCTGTAGTATGTGTGCACAATGGTTCTGTTGTTTTAACTCGACACTCATTTGTAGAACGTGTCATTATAGCTGCACGGAATGTCTGCCCTAGTTTTATCGATTTCGAGTTACAATTGTATTATATGTCTTAACGAAATACAGCGTTGTTTCCCAATCTTTGTCAAAGGATATGATAAATCTGTAGACGCTTAATATTTAATTTTGTTGGTATATATATGAATTTAATTTCTGTAATACGTTTGCCAGTTTATGGAAACCAGCAGTAGGTATGCTGTACATAGTTGTGTATTTGCGTTTAACTTTTATGACAACAGAGATGATAGTGATCGAAACGTGTAAATTTATATTTGGTATGTATTATAAAGACCATCAAAACAAAATTGGGATATGTATCAGCATTTGCTAGATGAAACTTCAGTAAGTCTTATATGTTTTCGTTGTTTCGTGTTCCTAGGTAGGACGAAATAGGGGAACTATTAGCTTGACAGATAGTTAGTAACTTGTTTTTTAAAGCTCGTCTAAGCAATGGGAGATAATTATGAACACTAACATTATGAAATTCCTTTCGATATACTATAGTGACGGTTTTGGTCAATTTTTTGGTGATTTACTACATTTTGAGTTTCTAGATGTAACATATCGTTTACTGCTTATGAAATAAGAGAAAATTATTTCTTAGTCAATTTTCAACCTTTTCGAATAACGCAAAACTGATTAAATTGATTGATTGATCAAACAAATTCTTTCAAATACCATGTACGTTGGACCAGATATCAAGACAACCTTATTGAAGGGCGTTCAGGCAGTAACACTACGGCCCCTCATGCGTTTACATCCGGGTCACAAAGAAGAATAATTAGTATAAATTGACATTACTTATTTCCAAATTGTTGTAAAATAAATAAAGTTTAGATAATATTCATGAAATATTTGATGAGAAAGTTTTCGTATATGTAATGGTTTTTTAGTAGAGATGCCAACAATTGCCGGTAAAAATGACTTACAGGTTATAGCAAGGTGGCATGGAATACATGTCTCTACCTCATTAAGAATGTTTTGATACCATACACGAGGTGCAGTTTGATGAGATTAATGCTAGTTAATTGTAGTATTTACTATGGAGGGGAAGACATGGGTCTTTTGTACTGTTTATTTTATAGATCTTATTTTACCATATTTCAATAAACTTTAATATGAAATGTTTGGTTACATATCGGCGTTTTATTGTTGTCTCTATACGGCAATGTAAAAGACAGAGATACAGCTGACACCTTAGTCTAAATGTTGTGTTCTTGCAGGTTTATTTGGAACCACTGTGGCTTGTTGTTCGCTGCCAAACAATGAGTGGAAATTGAGGTAACTTTGTTTTATATGTTAGACAATATTCAACATTTTAAGGCAATCAAATTTCATTACGTAATCTTTTACGAACCTATTATAATTTTTTTCAGCAAAAAGTGTTCAGGGGCATACTTTGCATGTAGGTATTTTGTATTTTTGTCTTCCAAAATATGATAGAATGTGTAAAAAGAACGAAAAGAAGAAGGGAAAATATCATTTTTTAAACTTTATACGTCTCTTACGAATCGTACGATGCGGAGAGGAGTGACATGTATGTAACACAATCTAAGGAACATGCCAAGTTTTGATGTTATTTCTATACAAAAATGACTGCTTCTTCATTTAATATTAAGTGATTATATTAATTATTTTCCAGGAAAAATCAGTGTTCAGTTATTCCCATAAGCCCTGATGATTATCACTACAAACAGTTCGGCGCCACCTGTATGGACTTAGTGCGATCGTTACCAACTACAGCAAACCCATGTATCCCAGGTAATTGTTACCCCCGGCTTAGTTAATAGGGAAGTACAAATGTGGAATTAATATCGGAATATTAAATCTTTGAAAGTTTCTCAAGTTCTCTTCATGAATGGAAAGGCCATCAGATTCTTTACCGAAATTGTAAAATTCACCATAGCATCTCGCATTTCCACCAGTGGAGGAGGTAAAGTTTACTACACTTTATGTAGGAAAATAACAATTTTGAACATTGATTATTTACTGGAAATAGTTCAAACCAGAGAAGGATTATTAGATTTATGTGACAGTTTAATGAGATGCACATATTGACTCCCCAAGGGCTGTTGGGCAGGGTAAAAAATGGTCATAGACTGAGATTTTAAAACTTTTCTTCTCAATTACCAGATAATGTAAACTCAAATATTTTTCATGGATGGAAGTACTTTACGGTGCTTTATAAAAATTGTAAGTTTCATGATTCCAAATTTAATGCGGCCTTGGGGAGGGGCTAACATTTACTATATTTTATATAGGAAAATTACATTTTTTAGCATAATGTATTTATTTTCTTTCAGAAATAGTCCAAACTTTAATATATATATATATATATATATAAGTACAAGCTGACTGTTTGCCGGGGTGCACATATTGATCTTTACTGACCTCTGGGGCTGATGGGTGGGGCCAAAAATTGATCAAATTGACTGAAATTTCAAAGATGTTCTAATGTTCCTGATTGGACGATTTTACATAGGAAAATTCTTGAGTGTCACTCCTTTTAGTTCTAACTTGCTTAAAAGCCTTAGCATGGGACTGCAATTAAATACATATACACAAACTACATTTGCGTTATGTGCACAACATAATTAAAGTTATATTACTTTTTTAACAAAACTATTTCTATGACATGTTACAAGAAGCATTGTGACTCAGGTGACCGAGGTGACCGTTAAGGATACTGGGCCTCTTGTATTTTTATCTGCCCAGGTCGAAGCTCGCTTTTGCCTACATTCATAATATTTAGTGGATAAATCTACCTTGTTCAGAATTGTGCGACGTCATATCGTGATTGCAATGTCTTAAGAACACAAGCTATTGAAATATATAATTGCAAGGAGAGGAATAAAATCTAGACACCACCAAGGATACAGTAAAGCCAACTTACAGTAGTGTCGCGTTTAAACACTATCGCAGACAAAATCACTCTCAAAGTGTTTAAGTTCAAAGGTACAAAAAACACACGACTTGATAATCACTTTCAAAATAGTATCCCGGCTACGTCATGCTTTCTGCAACACATAAAAAACCCTAAAATTATAGACGCCTGATCTGTATATCCAAAGATGAGATGTAATTCTACCCCTTCGGACAGAAGAAATATCCACTCTTTCAGTGAGGATAAGACATCTCTTTCTTGCATGGTAATATAGAATATATACAGGTGCTTAACCGGAAGTTGTAGACTTGGACGTGGGAGACATGACTGATTGATATTGACAGGTTAATATAATTGTAAAACAGAATCTGATCATCTTTGTTTAATTAATTCAGTTTTAAAACTGAAGATATATCTACAGATTGATATACGAATTCTATGTTTTAGGAGTAAGAGAGCAAATTAATGGTATCACGGCTTTCATTGATGCATCGCAAGTCTATGGCTCTGATGACGAAGTCGCTGTTGATCTAAGATCTGGCAAGAATGGTAAGTCTGACCATTGACACTTCATTGACTTTCTCATCTGTCGCAATGATTATCATTTCCGTAAGATGAATAGAAATAAAGAGAACAATTAATACAATGTATACTAGATTTGGTCATGTTATTTTCCTTGTTGTTTTAATAGAGGAAAAAATATATTGTATTTCTAATTAATTAATATATGTCGGCATTTTGGATACGATGATTTCAAATTATATTTGTAGAATTTGTATCAAAACATCTTTTCAAATGCTTTTAATTAAATTCTATTAAACCATGAGGATATTATATCCATATTGTGATGCCTCGCGACGATATTACCTCGTCTGCAAGGCGTTGTGGGTCCCGTTTGGCACCACGAGAAACAAGCAACGCAACAACAATGTCTGACCGTGAAGACTCTCGTTTATTCCGCGTTGACATGCGCACTAGTTCACATGCATACACATAAAAGCGGCAAATTCAAAATGTTCCGCGATACACAGTAATGCAACCTAGATCACTACAATATGAAACATGCATACATTATTAACCTTAAAAACATACCAGACGGAGACCTAACCAATACATCACGGAATGTAACAGACATTCAGAAAATATACATAAAAATGATGGCCATACGGTGAAATAACAGAAAATATCAACAAAACTGCGCAGTACCTAGTTAATTAATTATTGCTTTTTGTGTATATGGTAGCGTCCCTTACACACAGTCATACTTCCACGAACAAAGTTTAGACCATATCATATAAGATAGATATTATATGGAATATCGATGTTATATTAAACATGGCTCAGAATCAAGGATTTTCAGAGATTTGGAAATTCCGAGCGCAAAATAAGGACCAATTTTCCTTTTATCTTATTTTCTTCCAGCTCTACATGAACAAGACATATAATCTCACTATTCTATTACAAAATGAGATAAACGGGGTTATAACCTGATTACTTTCCTTTGTCTATGTTGCTTGGTTAGTTATGGTCTAACGTCCTTGCAAAGCTCTGCAAGCCTTGTGTTTGTTAACTGAATCGCGCCTTTCCGTGCATTTTAGAAATAGGTACATTAAAGCCATAGAATGAATCAGACTGTGTCATAGTGGTTAATATCTTCCTTCTATTACAGGTCATTGATACAAGGAGGCAAAAAAAAAAATTCAATATTGATTGAAATGAATGTCAAGAAATAAAGGGAGGGTCCCAAATATCTCAAACAATTTCCATACATCTTAGAATTGTAAAGAAACCTTCATCAGCATTTATACATTGTAAACTGTAGCATAAAGGTTACGGCTAGCCTAGAGGAACAAGAGCTCACGAGCAGTAAATGAATATGTGAATGTAGGGTAAACAATTATTTGAAATTATTGACCTGCATAAGGGTGAGAGAAAGTACCACTAATGTTCAGTTAATTTGTGTTACAGGTAGACTGAGGGTCGACGGCGATGACCTGTTACCTCCAAACATTGAAAGTTCTTGTCTGCTTGATCCTGGAACGTCTAAGCACTGCTTTTACGCTGGTAAGTACGGAATCTTTCTGTACGTCCTCCCTCTAAAAACGTTGAATTTTCCTTTACTTCCTGTCGGCCTTGTCTCATACCATACCTATTTCAGTATTGGTAAAACGTTCTGTCGGCCTTGTCGAATGACTTATCTACGTTAGCATTTGTTTTATTTGCTATCATCCTTATCTCATAAAAGACATACCTTAGTATTGTTCAATCTTTTTACTGGCCTTGTCTCATACTTTTATAGGTGACCAAAGGTCAAACTTCCTGTCGGCCTTTTCTCACACTGTATCTACTTAAGTGTTCATCATATTTCCTGTCTTCTAGCCTCTGACTAGATCTACGTTATATTTCTTCATGCTTCCTGTCAGCTTTGTAGCATGTCTTGTTCGAAAGTCACATCACAACATATGATACATATACATTAAAATGTACAATTTACGATAAATATATAAATAGATTTTGAAGTTGAATTTATAGTTATCAAACTGCTACGCAGGTTGTCATTACAGAAAACTCAAATAAAGAATTACAAAATAATACTACTGTTATTTTCATGCAAGACATCGTTTAATCTAATTAAGGAATAAGTGGATAACATCTCTAAAACATGCAGTTAAACTAAGGAGGTGGATACTAATTTTCCGGAAGCTATATTTATAAGTACGAAATAGGAAACTGGTCCAAATATCTGGAGTGAAAATAAATTTAAAAAGATGCAATCTAACAAGATGAAATTTTGGTACCAGAAAAAAGAATTAATGGTAATGAACTCTGTGGCATTGTCTTTTGCTGGGCTCCTGGGCACATGGGAATACCAGGCAACGAAAAAGAAGATCATACCGCAAAAGAAGATTTATCGCTACCACTTGTTGTTTTTAAATTCATTTTACTGATTTTAAACCGTTTATCAAACAATTGTTAACAGCTCAGCGGCAGGAGGAAAGGAATCAATTTACTAACAATAAATTGCACTCCGTAAAGCCTATACCTTACGTTTTTGTAAATGTTGAAAGGCGAAGATAACCCTCGGTGCATCTGATGTTAAGAGCCATTCACCGTTAAACATTTTTATTGGACTGCATTGACCTGTCTACTTGAGACATTTTTTAAGCGTAACATTGCAAGTCTAAAGACCCTTTTAGAAACTGTTGAGATTAATAAAATTCTACGTTATCTGAAAGATGTTGGTCTGTACTATAGATTATGACTAACTATTTTTATCTTTTGTGATAATATAATCTTTTACATTTTTAGCATGTGTCTATTACTTTTTAGTTTGTTTGTTATTTCCTTTTGGATCGCTGTGTGTATTACCGGTTGATGGCCCTAACGACCTATTCTGTGTTGACGAGCCGTTAAGTATTTCATAATCATAAAAGTGCTATCATCACGTTTTGGTAATTCTTCTCTATGTTAGTGTCATTACGCTGAAATATTATAGACTGACCTCGATAACACGGCACCCAACGTTGTCACATCATATTATTATTATCAGCACCATCTCAGTACTTTGGTATGTCAAAGCTCGGCAACAGATTCCATAACGTTTTTTGAAGGGCGCTCATAACAACTCTGATGACTTTCTACATTTTGATCAATTCAACCAATCAAACCATTTGAAAGACTTTGAAGCAATTAAATGTATTTTAATATTTTTTTATATATTAAGGTGATATACGTGTGAACGAGAACCCCCACCTTGGAGCAATACACTTGGCCTTTGTTCGATTCCACAATTATTTGGCGGATCGCTTTGTGGAAGAAGGCCTTGACGATGACGAAGAAATATACCAAAAGACTAGGAAGATCATCGGCGCAATTATGCAGCAAGTGACTTACAACAACTGGCTACCTGAGGTGCTTGGGAAGAAGGCCATGGACAAGTACAAGCTTACCTTGGACGGCAAGGACCCTTACCGGTAAGAAGAACGTGTAGGCATCTAAACAAACAAGCAGGTTTACAAATCAAGATTTGATGATTGTGATTGACTCAAAAGACACCACAAAATCATTTAAGAAAGGGTTATATGATAATGTACTTGTTATCAATAGAAAGGCAGTTAATGTAAACTTTCCTACTACCTTTAACCTAATAAAAATACTTTTATTTCTTGTAACAGATTTTTTTTTCAGATTGATTAATAGTCCTCAGCCAAACCGAACACAGATGGTGACACAATTTCCTTGTTGTTGCTATGTTCTTCCGTATGACGTCATACTACCACAAACCATGACAGACTGTTTATAAGACGATCTGTAAAATGATTAGAATTGATTTGCATGGTTTCTAATTTGACACTGAATAATGTTGAAAGGTCTAATTCCTTTGTATTAAAAAACATTTAAAAGCAGTGGACAGCTAGGGAATCTGCAGCCCTGTTCTGCTTCAAGCGATAATATTATTTTAACATATATAAAAACACCTTCTCCTTGTCTATTTTCTATCATTTCGGAACTAATTAGGAACATTTTCAATCAGAAAATCGTCCTATGTTATCGTTGTGGTAACTCAGACAATTTCACTTTCTCCAAATTCAATATCAATAATGTCAATGTTTGGCCTTAGGAACAAGCATTTATGTGTAATATTATCATAAATATATTGGCCAATGCTTAATTCTTCGCATGTTTCGGGTATACGTCCAAACAATAGCCCAGATTAAGTCAATATAAAGAGGTTGCCACAGATTTTGCGGTCACCGAATGTCATAATCTGGACACAGCACATGACAATTAGCCCAGTTAAATCGTACTGGAAACTGTATAACTTGTTCATGGTCTTACTTTACATTACTGTAGATTAATATACAGCTACCGTGCATTTATTTACTGTTCTCTTAATAATACATATGAAACCAATCTATAAACGTAACTTGCTACTTATGGAAAAAGTAGTCGATACGTTTCGGTGTTGAGGCATCTAGAGTTTTAAAACGTACATGCAGTGGTGTAGACAAAATGGCAACTTATCGTATCGAAGAGCGAACGACTGTGAGTTAGTGGTGTATATTTCGGTAAAGTAAATCTAGTACCATGTATCTGTATGGTCAGGTCATTTAGTTGGGAGGTTTTACAGTCATTGAGAAATATTCTATTCCTTTGTGCGATATGAAGCTGGACGTGTTTGATGCTAGTTTATTTGCCTGTTGATTTCGTTTTGGTATAACTTGTTCTCACTAGAGCACGTGTCATTACCTACATGGTTTGACCATGGCGGGTGTCTTCGATGAAGCAGGAGACACTAAGTCTTCCTGAACACAGGAGTCTCCGTGTAAATATTTCGTTTGGTTCTTATTTTGTTCCAGGTTTATTGAATTTGAGTTTGGATTTTGTTGACACGTTATTTTTTGTGTTGTTAGTCATGATTTAATCAGATCGGATTCAGATTTTTATATAAATACTTTTTTAATAATTATTTTTCAGGAAATGGTATATTGATTTTCCTATTAAAAATTTCCTCTATTACCTAGTTTTAAGACTGATCACATGAACAAATTAAGTTTCATACGAATTTGAAACTTGACACCAAACTCGTTTCACTTGCAACTGTTCTTGACTTGAGCTGAATGACAACTTTTAGAATGACAGTTTGCAAACAAAGTGGCTTGATAAACAATTTGTTACAGGATTCGTTCATATTTTTATGACTTCCTATTAAACCCATACCGAGAGAAGATATATCAAATCTACTTTGTATAAGAAGCAGTTAATATGAAGTTGAGAGTTAACCATTTTATTTTGTCATTTCGTTATTCATACCTTACAGAAGTAATCAGAACCCTTCCATCCAGGTTCAATTCAGTACAGCCGCCATGCGATATGGCCACACACTAGTTGATGGGCTATTAAGAATGCTGGATGACTGTAACAAGGACGCTTATAAACCGGAAGACCTCTCTAACCACTTCTTTAGACCAGATTTACTTTTTGACAAGGACAAATTGAATAAAATGATGGGTTGGGTCCATAGAGCACCTTGCAAAAGATCGGACGCGTAAGTAAAGTCCAACACAACAACAATTTACAAGTATTTACCAACAATAAACACGGTTTTTACCAACAACATACGTGCACAAGGCTCTGCTATAAATTTAGCATTAGGAAAGATATCATGGCATCAGTTTGCACGTTAGCAATACAATGATAATCAATAGAATTAACTTTATCACGCGGTCCTTTTCGACCTCATTCATATTAGTGATAAATATGTTAATGTTACCGATTTGCACTTTTTTGTTGTTTTGTCTAAGTTATTATGCAAACCAATTTCAAAGTCCACTAAATGTTACCGTTTGTGTCAATAACGATTCTGAAACAGTCATTACATTAAAGTGTGTTTTATTTCTTGTAATTAAATGGGAAACATGAATGTTAAATCCATATCTGTTGATACCTTTTCATAAGTCTATGGGACATTTACAGAATATGGAATTGAAACCAAGTTGACACAAAATATATTTGCTTAAATTTTCTATTTTGTTTCAGATATGCTACACCAGCTATACACAATCATCTGTTAAAAGAAAAAACATCATTCGGACTTGACCTTGCTGCACTTAACATACAAAGAGGTCGCGAACATGGACTGCCAGGCTACAATGCATATAGAAAATATTGTAAATTGAGCGTGGCTGATAGCTTCCAAACCCTTGAAGACCACGACATTTCTTTAATAGAACAATTGAAACAAACATACGAGTAGGTATCTCAAGCATTACAATCAAAACTAATGATAAACCTAATGTTGTAGTTAGGACACGTAAGCATAGGGCTTAACCATTTTACAAGGTTCTGCAATATATCTCTTCATTCAGTTTCTATTTCATTTTGAAATGTACGTGTGACAAGTGTATGGCACCAATATGTTTTTAAATATCATATTTTCTTCGTTATTTTGCAACATTTTCGTCGTCTTTGTAAAGTCAATAAAATAGAATTTCCCATACCAAACCCAGTAGAAGATTAGAGTGTGACGTTCCGATGACTACATGGTCATCTTGAATATATGGGGCTATTGTGTATTATTTTTATATAGGAATGGTCAGGAATACTAGAGCTCTAAAGCAATCATAAAAGAAAGGGGGGGGGGGGGGAGGAATTATCAAACTATCTAATTCAGTATTATTAAGTAAGTACAGGCGTACGCGTTGGGTCATAGATGAATAAACATTACACTTCGGAGTTATCATTATACCCCGCACATAGTTGAAAATATTCAGTTCTCTGCTACGTGTTCCGAAAAAAAAAAACTCGTTTTATCGTCACACTTATACGCTTTCTTACACTGGCGTTGTCATTCAACCCTACATCTGTCAACAACAACATTAGGTTGCAGGAAAGACAATCCACCAAAAAGTGTGTCTTTTTTTTTTAGCATTTTCTGACGCGATGATAAAAAATTTGATAATGGTAATATGAATATCTCAAATAATGCAAGATATGCGAGAGAGATGAAGAATGCGTGATTTCGTATCTTTATGATTTTTTTCAGTATACTTTTTCTTGCTAGGACGTTACTGTTGAAGGATTTGGGCAGCAGGAAAAGCATATGAAAGCCCACTCATTAGAACATTAACAGAATACACATCGACTTAGTTATGAAAGTACTAGAAGATGAATTATGATATAGCAAGTTATGATGTAAAATCGAAAATGAAAATGCAAATGCATCTGCTAACCATATTGATTTTTATGCAGCATATTGGTATTTATTTTATAAATGCTACCACAAATATCAGTCCATTTCTCAGCCTTGTCCGTAGGTCAGCAAAATGCCAAGTAGATTGACGTTTCTCCAAACACACACACGCCTTGGTGCAACAGTTTGCTGAGCGGGCTTGTCATAGAATGATTCGATTGTGTTTTATTCATTGTAGTGATGTGAACGACATTGACTTGTTCGCCGGTTTGTTATCGGAGACTCCTGTAAGCGATGGTCACGTGGGCCCTACCCTCGCTTGTCTGTTAGGGAAGCAATTCCAGGCTTTGAAACGAGGCGATCGGTACTGGTATGAGCGTTCTACATTGGAAGGGTTAACACAAGGTAATACAAGTGAAGATTGCAGCAGCTTACATAATCCGTTTTGATTTGTTGACCATCTGAGGTAAAGGTGGCTGATTATTTCCCGTCGTCGTTATTCGGGTCACAGTAATCAGCTATGATAAAAAAATGAATGATACCATCAAAACATGTAATAACAATTAAAACTGGTGTCCCGCTTCAAAGGGAGGCATTTACAGTAGAATTAATTCAAATACGTTTATATGTGCAGTTTGATATATACAATGATATGAACAACATGCCATGCTTATCCTCCAGTACTTTAAGATCAATTCCAACATTAAATTTCTTATTAAAAGGTAGTTTGTGTTCGCAGACACTCCATTATATCTTATTTGATTGGCAATGAACGAATTAACACCGTTATGTGAATATATCGCAGTCATAACAATTAACTGATTGTTTGCTTTTGATTCTTTCAGAGCAGAGGGATAACATCAACGAATTCAAGTTAGGCAAAGTCTTCTGTCAGTTTTTCGAAATTGAGCAAATCCAAGAAAACATATTCAGAATACCAAGGTAGATAATAAAAATGTTTAAGTTTTACTTATGTATTGGGAAATCCTATGGTCGTCATAGTGATCTCATTGAGAAGTATTCTATTCATTTGTAAGTTATGAAGCTGGACGATATTATTTTGATTGTTGTTTCCATTGCTGTTTATACTGTGGGTGTCGTCGATAAAGCTGACGACGCTTACGTTCTCTTCCGGAACACCTGGTCGCATTCTCCTTGTATACTTTCAGGAGTCTCCATGTAAATTTTTCTTTTGTTCATATTTTGTCATAGCTTTCATGGAATTTCAGTTTGGATTATAATTTGATGAATCTTGGACAAAATATGAATAGACAATAGACTTACAAAGAGTTTTCTTGATGTTTCAAGAAGACCGAGTGTTCTGGAAGGAAAGTATCTGCCGTTTCATCGAATATTCCCACAACGTAAATCTGGGTCAATCTAAGTTACAATATAGTAATGATTCCTTAAAAGGAACAAGGCATATAGCAAGATAACTACCAAGTATACTATCAGGAATCAAACACGATCGACCTCATATCACACAAGGAAATAGAATATTTCCCGATAACATCATGATTCATAATTCATACAAAATAATAGACGTAAATGTATGAATATAAATTTGTACTTCGTTAGTATATCATAGATTAATGTGATCTTTATGAGAACTGAATGCATTAAACGCCATGTCGTACATATAGGTCTATCAACTGATTAAACAATTTATCTTACATTCATGGATAATATTCAAGTTAGATATCAATTTATATTAAAGTAAATATGTTTATAAAGGATTTTTCTTTAGTGTCACTTACTGTGTGTTTTATGAAACATTCCTTACTTACATTTTAGCGACCCCTATCGGGATAAAATTTTTGTGCCGGGTCTCTTTAATTTTATTAATATTGTTATACATTTTCAGGATGAATGAATTCAGGCCCTGTTCCTCTCTACCAGATATAGATGTCAGCCTTTGGTTGGACGATTGATTCCTAATGGACAACATTACCCCCACCGTAAACAGGAGACACGCACGCACTATCGTTTTGTACATTAAGTGTCTCCATGACAACAAACAATACTAATATCTGCTTCTGCTTTACTTCCTTAATGTATATGTTCTTTTTCTTCTTCCTTCCAGTTATTTATTTTACTATTATATAATTTTTCTTCTTCCTTTCCTGATATTAATAATTTTGTCACACGATGTATACAGTATGTATACCATCAAATATTTTCCACCTTTTCGATTGCTGATTCGAGTGCCAGAGGAGCATCCCAGAAAATGAAACCACAAAAAACATATTTTATGGACAGTTTTCAATGATGTAATATACTCTTCCGTTATACAGCCAGCTGTTAAATCAAGTTGTCAAGTTGTCAAATTGTCAATTTCTAGAATTATTCGCTGTCACCATGACAATCAGTGCTGATTTTTGTTGCAACGAACAACATGACGCCATTTCTGTGAAAAAAAAATCAACAATCTTTCTTCTCTATCAATAGAATAACATAGTGGACTTGTTTAAATTTCATTTTGCGAATTTGTTAATACTGCCTTTGTTTCTTTATGTAAAGTAATTGCTCTTAATATAAACTATTGTATACGTTGTTCAAATGCTAACGTGGTTGTATCACTTTATAGCTGTTTCTCAATAAAATATATATTTGCATGAAAGATAAATTTATCTTGAATGGTGCGTTCTATAGTTATTAACATATGCACACTATTGATGTATGCGAGTACTTTCGTAGACATCAATATGGACCACGCAATTCCAATAAACTCATTAATTCATTTACAAAAGTACAAGAATGATAAGACGAGGTGTTCCGGAAGAGTAAGCATATCCTGCGTCATCGGCGACACTCGTATTTGTAAATTGGTCAATTCAAGTAAGGTAAGTAATGTCACGTACTCAAATGAGAACAAGGTATACAATGACGTAACCAACAGGCAAACTAACGAGCATCAAACACGTCCATCTACCAGCATCTTTTGAAACCAGATGTTACGAATAAGTGTCAGAGTACGCGGTCAGACATTAGCTATCTTTTTTAAAAGTGATGTCTGGTTAGAACTCCTCCCAATATATCTGACCCATTTACCTCTTGGACTGACGATTTGGAAGCGATGACTTTAAAAGTCTATATATTTTGGTACATACCACGTAAATTGCTGTGCTACGCTGTTTCAAAGAATTGTATTTCAAATGCAGACCTTTTCTCCAACTATTCGTGGGTGTTCCCCATGTTTCATATGCTAATATAGATATTTCTTCCTATTTGCTACGGGCACCACGTTTTTTGTCTCCGCTAAAAGTGGCATGACAATGTCACAACTGAATAGTGTCACCTTATTTCGACTCGTTTACACGGCCTATTCATGAAGGCTTGATAGAGTGCATGACAACAAGTTTAGATATTTTGCGTTTTGAAAGTATGGAAGAAAAACAAATAACATGATGTTGACATGTTTATCTGAATACCCAGCGTCATATCATGCTAAATTGTGATGATATTGCCCTCACATTGAGATCAGTCTGTCTGCGTCATAGAGGTAAAGGATCGTAATATGCTGGTTAGCAAAACAAAAATCATCATTTACAATGTACGTTCATGAAAATATTAATATGAAATAGCCTAACGATATGGTATAGGCAGATTTCAGGATACCTTTTCTACCTTACCTTTACTACAAGTGCATCAAAAATCTTCATGAACTTTCTGATTAGTTCTGATGATATCGAGATTGGTATCTCGTAGATCACAACAATATATCCGGAGTTCGCTGAAAGCAGATTACAGGTTAAACTAGGTAATGTGTTACGCAAAGGACGAAATTCTTCGAATGCAAAGATATGAAATATCACATGTTAAGTCATTCATCAGAATACTTTTCACAAGCGGTCATATCAATCGTGTCTGGTATTCTACTAAGATGTATGAAAATGAAATATATATACGAACGATATCCACTGATTCAACATTAAAGCTAACAAGACAATCAAGACAGGTTAACGGAATCGTGATTCAACAAAAACAAAAATGGAATAAGATGATTTAATAGAGGCTTACGTGTCTTCTACTTCACCACTGACCAACGTCAAACAATGGATAGCTGTGGATAACTGTTATGTACATGTATGTCATAGGTTGCTTCAAATTCTTAAATGATCGAAGTAATATTGCACTCGTGTTTCGACTCTACTATAATATTCCAGAATCAACCGCGCTCCTATTACCGCAGCGTAATTCAAATACGTCATCATTAATCTTTCTTGATTATATAATAAAACAGTCCATAATTGTATAAGATCTACTTCGCTAGTGATCAAAAACATGAATACTATCCTGTCTCCCTCCTGATTGGGAACACATGCTGTAAAAAAATAAATATATGTGTATACAAAGTAACCACGCTTAACTCAATTTCAAGTATACAATACTGAAAGACAGTCAGGCTTTGATTTTCTTTATAGAATATTGTTTGGATATCTGCGACATCATAAATGGAGGTTTATTTTAGCGCATACCAAATATGGTCAAACATGATGGGAGACCAAAAACTGAAAAGATGAGGAGACCTCTTATTTACTTCTGTGGAATTAATGTCGGTAAAATCACTGATTATCAAATAGGAGTGAATAATTCATAAATATAATCATATATAATATTAATTGATATCGACTAAAAATGCGTAAAATGTGTTCACCCTTGGCATAACTGGAACAGACACCTTTACGAAGTTGATAAATGAATATGTAAATGTTTATTGTCCATTCAATGGAAGCAACTCTGAACGAGCCGAGTAAAGTCTTTGAACACCAAGAGAACCATTAACTTTGTACTGAGTAATCAGTTCTTCACTGAAGAGATCACAGTGTATGAAGTATCTGCTACCTATTCATCTCGCCTACAATTATCCACTTGTATTACTGTAGAGATACTCTCGGCTAAGGAGGGATGACTCCTTTCACCAACGCCAAGACATCGGTGTGTGTAACGCGGGGTAACGTTCTGCTTCAAGCACAGTAGCTTACTAATCATCTTGTCACTGGTGGGTAAACTCTGCAACATTGTTCGTGACCATAGTCCTACATACATCAAACAGTGTAATGTGTCCTTTAAGACCATAGCAACGAATAATGTGTCTTTTCTTGCAACTGGAGGATAGACAAATATGCCACAGTTAAAAAATCAAAGATTTTTTTTCTAGATTTTTTTTCTGTTACTAATTGAAAACTGCCTTTAAACAAAACGTAAAGCTTTTCCACCTTCACTGAGGTAACATGAAACTTGGATACCTCCGTGATCAGCACGTAGCGAGTTGTGGTACAGGTTCAGTATAGCCTTCAGAATAGTTTCGTTGACAAGTCGGTAAGGATTATGTTGTTTAGCATGCCTCGACTTAGGAATTTAGAAATGAAGCAAGACATTTTGGGTTCAATATAATCAGCAGACTGAGATGACGGAAGCGTAACCTCATTTGAATATATGCAAGAATTAGTTCAAACTTAGGATACCAATGTTGTTGTTCTTTCGTTGAGTCTAGACGCTGATACACTATATGCATCAGAAATGAAGCTTTCACAAAAACATAAAGTCATTGGTACCCGGTTAGGCGATCGTCAACCTCTTTGATATTGTAAAATCATGATTTAATATGGTAATCAACATCTGTTAGTCTGAGTGTTTATTATTCAACGTCCACATCTACTGGAGCATTTTGGAGATGATACCGTAGATAGCAGGTCTGATGAGTTATGCACATTAATCTTTGGAATCAACCGAGAAACAGTGTCAGAGTTCAAAATGTCATTTTTTTTAATTTAAGGTTTATTCACACTTTCAAATCGAGGTTCCCTTGCAGTCCAGTCACTGAAATATCCTTGCTTCTTTCGGACTTGTCAATTTCTAACTGTAGTACAACATTTACATTGTTCACACACTGAAGACGCATGTTTCACACACCTACTTTTGCGTGTATAACATCCATCTGTATCCCAACCGTATTCAGTATCAATGTCCGTGTTCCTTGTTACTAGAAGTAGTTGGAGAAGTCCAAAGGTTGCTTTGTGACCTTCATGGGGTCATTATTGTTAACAAATAACCAATGGGAGCAGAGGCAATATTATTAGCATTGTTGCGTAACATATCTGCTATGTGCTGACCATACGGGAATGTGTCCTATGGATTCTTGAACAAATGGGAAGTGTGGATCTTCCTCCTTAGGGTTATCACATATGACATTGTCTGTGTATGTAATACAACGAAACAAAATGTCAACTTCTATAATCTTTAATGCTTGTAATAAATCTCAAAATTAAATTGTTAGAGAATTGTCAGTCAACGATCCATTACGTTTCAGTTGGGATAGGAACGTAATAATCAATAGTCACATTCTACAACAAATCGTTTCCCTCCTAAGTTATGAAGTTCAAAATAGCCCAAACGTTCGTTTTTGGTTGGACTATAAAAGTGTTGTCATCTAGAAAAAAATTGGAACCAAAACCGTATCTCTTGCGGAATTTCCTTGGACCTATGCCCGACAACACCGACTTCATATCTTCACCACCTTCATTCCTATTAATCAGGAATTGTATAACAGATTTTTTCCTTCTGTTTATTCAGGAAACGAAAGTCAAAACAGACACGATACCATCGCAAATCCTTTTCCTTATTCATTAACTTATTTACTGCATTTGCCTATCAATTTTAGAAACTCAAACTTCTGGATTCTGTGATAAGCAAATCTTCAGTCACATACAAGTGATTTGTTAACTTGTCAATGCAACCAATAAAAATGTGTAAACTGTCTTAATTATTTTTCCGAAACAATATCAACCCTTAACTCAGAATTGTGACACCAAGCGTCACAAATTCTCTCCCACGGCTGAACTACGTTCAAATCAAAATTGTTGATAAATTCACTACATGTAATTAACTGTAGGTTGGGACTTGGGTCAATGTACTGTAGAAGGATCGA